GATAGGCTGATTTTGATGAAACTTTGCAGTTTTCCATTAATTGTGATGAGGAATCCAAAAGTATAATAAGGGTCTATTTAAATATAAGGGTTCATAACTTCATTTTTGACATTTGACATTGGAGTCAAAGTGTGCTCCAATAGCCTTTGCTCCCTGATGTGACTGAATGTACCTAACAAAATTTGGGGGAAACAGAATTGCATGCATCTAACAGAAAATAGGCACAAAAAATGAACAAAACACAAGAACAAAATAATAGATGGTGATTGATTTATTCTTGGATCACCTTTCTGTGTCAGCAAGTGCAAGGATTGTATATCCATACCTGGCCAATGCTAGGATCACATTTCCAATGGCCAGCAGCTATGAGGATTATCTGTCCTGTGGCTGGCAGACATAAGCAGGATCATGGAAAAGCAAGGGTAGAGGGGTTATGTGCCCAGGGTAGTAAGATGATGAAGCACCACAATTCCAAAATTATTACAAAGACAAACTAACAAATTGATAGAAAACTGTCATACAAATATGAAAAATTATATTATGAAATATAATATGCATTATATTAATAAAAATGATTTTAAATTTGTAACAGACTAATGAAAGGCTTATCCAAAAAGTGCTATATTTAAGTTTGTCCTGGTACCAAATGTTCTAGCTACATATATAGGTACGAAGGATAGCCTCTTTTGTGGCAGCAAGTGCAAAGTTCACCTGCCCACATCCATCAGGTACAAAGATCGCATCAATTCTATTGTAATACAACAAAGTTGTGTGCAATGTCCTAGTCATAGTAATATATTTGATATATAAACACCTGAAACAAAATTAAAATCTTTCTCTGGATGAGGAGATTGTCTTAAAAGTTTGCTATTCAGTATGAAAGATCTCATACTGAGTAAATATTATGTTGAGTTACATCTATTAAACATATTATACAGTACAGTAGACCCCCCTATAACGCGGGTTCCTATAACGCAGATTCCTATAACATGGTGAAAAAACTGCGACAGTATTCATATAAAGACGCTAAAAGGGACGCATAAAACGTCATCGCTGACTCGTGTCGCGACAGGATTGGTCGAATCTGGATCAATAGTAGATGAGCAGCCAAACTACTTACATGCTACGGAGAGTTTAGACGGGTAAGTTGAGTTTACTATCATCTGTACAGTATTATTATCGTCTGTACAATATTAACTTAATTTATTTTAACTTTATTATAATTATATATACTTTCCACCATCCAGCGCCATGCTACGGAGAGTTTAGGCGAGTAAGTTGAGTTTACTATCGTCTGTACAGTATGTAAATTAGGTATCGTAAGTCTAATACAGCACTGTAATTTTATACATTTCTTGTGAAAGAAACATTTCTTATTCAACGGCCATAAAAATTATTTCTATTAATGATGTCTCCAAAGTTCAACGAATTTTTCGCAGAAAAATAACTTATCAGAAATCGCGGCCGCCATTTGGTGTACTGCTCCACGACGAAAACAAGCTTAAGCAATGGCAATGTCAAACGGTGCACACTCGGTAAGTAATCCTACAATTTTTTGTTTATAGCATAGTTTATACAGATTATTCCCAAAAAATTTTACGTGTTTTAGAAATGTTGAGTCGAATTAGTCAAGAATCAATTAATTTTATGGAAGAAAACCTTTCAAACAGCTGTAGTCCCTAAACTGCACACGTGTCGGGCTGTGATTGGCTCATGTATTTAAGGATTCCTACAACGCAAAATTCGTATAACATGGAACGTATCTACCGTGTTATAGGGGGAGTCTACTGTATTGATTTTAGTATTAAAATATAAATGACAGTACTGTGAAATTTATACCAGAAATTAAATCAGGCAACCAAATAATAACAATGAAATGAAAAACAACAAATATTTGATTACATAAAAATGCACAATCTGATAAAAATCACAGACTACTCAAACACAAGTTACACATACACATAGTATAGTAATAATTATAATAGTAAATATAACACAATAAAATTTCATAACAAAAAATAAAAATATGAAATATATATTAAATAATTTAACATGTAATAAAAATCACAAAATTTCTTAGAAAATATGATGATAATGAATCATGCAGAAAGAATTGAAATAAACAAAAACTTAGCAATGCCTACAATGGACATATCTTTAAAAAATTAATATTTTTAATCATATTGACAGTTATTAAATCATAATTTACTGTTGCATATAATTTAAATCAGTGATGAACAATCTTTTCAAAATGTAGGTCAGAAGTGAACTTTGTAGCTTCTGGCAGGTCATATTAACTTTTTCTCATGTTGTAGGCTTTTGGATAAGCTTGCTGAGTAGTAACATACATACACTGTAACTACTAGTACACTAAGTAGTAAAATATGCACTGATGATATGCAAACTAAATATTATTATTCTTGATTTATGCACACACTTTCTTTATATCTTTCTCTTTGGTACCTAGCAAAGCTTTCACTGCTAGGTACCAAGGCAAAAGATATAAAGTGTGTACATAAACCAAGAAAAATGTTTCTAACAGCATCAGAGATACCAAACTTAAATGACAGCAGAAAGACTAACCAACAGAAGCAAGTCAACCAATGTTTGACTTTGTCAACATAATGATATATATTATTAGTTTGAATATTCTTCATCACAAATATCTGCTTAATTACGGTTGTGTAATGGCTTGAAACAGAAAACAGAAAATAAAATTATGCTGGTCTGGAATAGCATTTGCTAAACAAAAAAATAATTCATCAGAAATGGTGTCACATATTACATATTATTCACTCTACTTTTTTGCATTATTGACAATTTGCTATCAATGTAGACTAACTTGAAGTGAATACATAATTCACTTTTTTAAATAATTGCTTTAAATTTTCCTCTTTAAAGTAAATAATGCATTAGACTAAAGTGCTGTAGGTTACTGAAAAACATGACATGTAAATGAAAAATCTATGTTTAACTGAAGTGTTTTATAATGGAGAAAATACAATGCAGAAAAATATTTAATGAATAAATGCAAAATGTATAAATGGGATTTGATTGTTTATTGCAATTTTTAATTTTATCTATTATTTTCCATAAAAGCTTTATGACCAAATTCTTAACTATTCTTAATACGAGGACTGTTCCAATAGTTTATGGACTGAGATCACTACTTGGAGTACAAGTCATTAGGAAGTTTGGTGCAGGTTTCCTTTCCAAAATGTGGCCTTCACAATCTATAATACCATTTCTAGTAATGTACTAGTTTCTTTAGAAACATGTTGCAGACCATTTTCTGATATACAGTATAATGTAGTGGATATGGCAGCTTTTACTTCCTGGTCCATTTGTCTTCCTTAAAATGCTTCCACTATTTGATTATGACCAATCTGTCAACTGCTTCTTCACTGTATACTTTTTTAATCATCTCAAATGTTTCTTGTACAAAATTCAGTAGTGGTCCTTTGTCTGGTAATTAACGATATATTCTTCTCACACACCATTGTACAACACACTGCAGTTTGACTTTTGTAGAGAGTAAACAAACAACAACTTGTGTTGGCTTTATTCACATAAATACAGCATGCCATAGGCTATCCTGACAGATGGTGGTCACAATATCACTTCTATAGAATGAGCACAATGTTGCCAGTCCACAAACTTTTAGAACAGCCTTCATAATTTAAAATTCTTAATTATGTTGTCAGTTTGCAGTTTATTTATGATGTTACAAAATCAAATATTTTTAAATCTCTGATTTTTATTATATCAATACTATTGATTTATTTGCAGATTTTAATATCATTTAAAGATGGCTAATAGAATTTGATAAAACTGAATCCTAACAGATGAAGATATATTACTTTTATTCAATAATAGTAATATGCAGCAACTTATTGATAATAAATTTTTTATATTAAAAGTTTTAAATATTTATCAGTATAGTTGTTCAAAATATAAAGATCAAAGATAATTCGCTAATTAGAATATTTAAATTTGAAATTAAAGTAATAAATTTTGATAAAATATTTTAAATAATAAAATTTTATTAAAATGATTTAGTGACAAGATAGTATATTTACTTTTTAATGAAAAAAAAATATATATATATATTCAGTAGAGCGTCGTTTATCCGAATCAATTGGGGACTGAGATTGTTCGGATAACTTATTTTTCGGATAACCGATTATGTACGAAAAAATATATTAACCTATCCCATGTTGAAATTTTTCTCCGTTGCATGTCGCTTCGTGTTGAATTTTCGTCGATGTTAAGCCTAACGTAAACTTTTTAAAATAATAATCATGGCTATTGTATTGTTAAAAATTATTTCTTTATTTTTTGCAAACAAAATAAATATATTGAAAATTACAAAAAAAATTATACTTTAGAAGTTAATCTAGTATCAAAAATGTTCGATTCAGCACAACACACAGTTCTCAGAAAAACACCACACAAAAGTGCCAGTGCTGCCAGCTAAAACACATACAAAAACATAAAAAATATTGGAGTAGCCCAAGACATAGCCAAAGATTGCAGCGCCACAGCACAACAAAAATTTAAATTTGCCAACTGGAATTCTTTCGGATAAATGATGCTCTTCTGTATATATAAATTATATATCGTATATCCAAATGCAAGTAAAAAAAATCCAATTGTGAAATTTGTAATAAAAATTATCATTGAGAGTTTGGAAGTCTGAATTAGCAATTTATCTATATTCTCTTAATTATTATTTGATAGAATTTTAAGCTGTATAAAGATTAATTATAAATATGTACAACATTTAGTTATATAATACAAAATGTGTATAAAATTTTCAAAATTTAGAACCTTATATATTATTGTATTAGTTTTAACAATTTTGACATGCAGTATTTTTTTTACATGCACTTTCAAAATGACATAGTCAAAACTAAATTTCTATTTAACTACAGTTGGATTTTAAATAATTACTTTCCATCCTTCTCTTAAAATAAAGATAAAGTAAATATTGTTCTTACTTCACAATCAATTGATGTATTTGTAAACTGTTTATTTGAAGCTTGTCTTTCCCGCTCTTGCTTTACAATTTCTCGAAAGTAACTGTCAGCAGGATGTTCCCAAGAAGAATTATCAGTTTCATAGTTATAATAATATATTCTTCCTTTCTCATCTTCTCTGTAATGAGACACTAAATTACTTTTCTGTATTATTATTATTATATTTATTAAAAATACTCAATGCACCAAAAATAATAATTAAAAAATCAAAATCAAAATTATATTTTTCTTATTTAATTTTATTCTAACTGAGAGTATCCGATACACCCTCAATGCAGGAAAATCAATAGCAGCTGAAGCTTGCAGCTGAAGTTTTCAACACAACAACATGAACATTGAATGTTCAGCGCTGCCATCCTGTAAGCCTAGAAGTTTGACAGGTTTGGAACGTCGAGCATGATTTCATTGATGTGCCATACACCATCATCAAACTTCTATGCTTACAGGATGGCGGTGCTGAACATCCGACGTTCACGTTTTTGTGCTGAAACTTCAGCCGCAACCTCACTATTGTCATTTCAAATGGCAATGATCAATTCTGACTAAAAAAATTATTGGATTTTGTTTTAAAATTTTCAACTTTCTATTAATACTGTAGTATATTTGTTTATAATAACTAACACATCATATAAACAGCAAGTGAAAAATGGAAAATGACTTATCAAAAGAAATTAAACACATATTTCATTCATGACTAGATTGGAAATTAAGTATTGACATTTTTTTTTACTTCTTTGATGAGATAGAAAATTAAATTTTCTTCAATATTTTAAAATAATGATATGATATGCCAAAAATACTAAATATAGGAAATATTACAGACAGGATATTAAAATACTACAAAATGTGAAGAAAGACTAATAACTATCACAGTAAACCATGAAAATACTGCTGGCATTATGTTTTATAAAAAGAGATTAGAACAAGAATCCTATTTAGTATGAAAGAAGCACATTTTTAAAAGTTCATTGATCATCATATATATATATATGATGATCAATGAACTTTTTAAAATGTGCTTCTTATATATATTTTTTTTTTCTTAGACTGATCTAAATAAAACCATTTGTTGAATAGATTATTATTCTATCATTATACCAAATTACACATTTTTAATTGAAATAAATGCCAACTAACTTATTGATGTGAGATTCATTTCAATCAATCAAGTTCTGTCAATAAATCTATAAATGAAAATACAGATATCCCCTTACAATATGGTTAGGTTCAAAAAAGTTCTGTGTTATGCAAATCCATGGTATATGAAACAAAGGACTAGTACAAAACATAGGGTTAGGCTCCAAAAGTTAGAAAAAGTATACTATTGTTTTTCATAATTAAGAAATATATGGTTTTTTTTTTTTTTATAAAATTAACCAGGACTATAATTGTAAAATTAATATACAATTTAAGACTATACAATAACAAGTCTTTCGATGTCCTTTAAGACTGTTGTTTTCCTGAGGTGTGAGAAAGAACATTGAAAAACTCATTATTGTATAGTCTTAAACTATATATTAATTTTAGATATATGTTTATTAAAGCAATTGTAGTGATATCAGAATTTACTCCCCCAATTCTTGATTTGGATGATCAGAGTTTTTTGCAAACCTATTTGTTTGCTTGCAAAGTACTTATTTCATTTTCTTTACCAGATTCATTGCTTGAACTAGTTTTACTTCTATCTTTCAATTCACTGTCTCTTTCCAGTGGATTCTCAACAAAGTGTAGCAGTTCTGGCACACATTCCTTTTCTAAACACTCTTGAAGTTTAGGATGCAAAAGGTGGGCAATTTGAGAAAGAACCATTTTGCTCAAACAATGACTTCACAACCTCATTATCTATGTTTCTTTTGGTATCACAAACCCATTTTATGATTTTCTTACAGGAAATAGACTTTCTGTATCTGAACTTTGTAAAGTCTTTATTCCCATTAGCAATCCAATCTTCCCATTTTTTTCTCACCTTGTCTTTAAAAAGTTTATTCATGTGAGTATTGAGGAGTTATAGTGCCTGGAATGTAGTAAATATCAGTATTTTGTTGTTTCATCTTGGCCTCTATGTTTTTTCCCAAAGTGAGCTAGCCAAGTCTCTAATGAGTAAGCATTTCAGCTTATACTCTTCTATAAACATTTTTGCTGTCATTGTTACCTTTTGTTCCATACACAAGACAGCCTTTTGGAAAGTTTTCTTCAGGGATTTTTTTTTCAAATTTTGAAATAATAAACATAGACAATTTCTAAACTTTTTTTTGTTTTGGATTACACTATAGTAAGTCCAACAGAATAAGACATTTTTTTTCTTTTCTAGTTGTCTTGCATTTAATTGTCCTACCAGCCTTAAAACTGAAGGAATAGTTGGCTAGCAGATCAAACTGGAGCCAGAGTAGAGATTCATCAAAATTTGCAATGAGTTCATATTCTGGTATTTCTTCATGCCATTTAAAAATGTTTGTACTGTGTCAGATGCATTATCAGGTACTTTCTGTCCCACACCGGTGACTCAACATTTCACCAATTTATGCCTGCAGAGAAAATGAATCAACCACATAAATGACACCTTAAATGATGATGAATCAACATTTGGGTAATTTTGGAGAAACAATTGCTTTGTCATTTCATAAGTATCACCACTACTTCAGTTAACCTTTTAACCACATCTTTTTAATCCACTTGACTAAGCTGAAGTGCTTACTCATTACAGACTATTTGATCTTTGGATATTTAGCAGCAGTTTTATAGGAAGATAACAATTTTTTTTACAGTTTAATACTCTACCACTAGATGAAGTTAGCATATTACCTTTTTTCATTAACCAGTCCTGTAGTGTTGATCTTGATGTCTGAAGTTTTCAAAAAACTTTTAATGCATTGTTTGAGTTTTCATATGCTAAAATAGCTTCTTTTTCAATGAATTGTAAGATTTTCTTTTATCCATTTATGCATACAGAATTTTAAATAAAATAGTGTCATTTTTAATAAAATGTTTGACAAATATTGATGTTGACAGAATTCAAAACTCAGCCAATGAATTCCAATGCTCATTTTCCCATGGAAAAATATAATGGCATGTTGTAATGTAAGAGATAAAAATAAATATTGTTTTCTATTAAAACATGCAATTTTCATATATTATGGTATGCTGTTAAAAGTGGGATAATATAGTATATTGTTTATATATTGTATCTCTATTGTTATGTTTCCTCATACAGAGGGTGAAAAATCCTGTACTAAATAAATAAAAATAATAATTTATGATGTAAATCCATTTTTTTGTATTATGTTTTATACACATTAGCAATTACGCATAATTGCTAATATATATTTTCAATAGAGATCCTATTTATGTGAAATAGATTATTTAAAGAAAACTGATTTTTGATGTTTCTTCCATCAACTTTCTATATATTTTTATTTAAGAAAACATTGTTTGTAAAAACAATATAAACAACTATTAGTTTCAATTTGAACATTATAATGTAAAAGTTATAGAAAAAAGAAAATAGCTTAAAAGAAAATGCATTAAAATAATATTAATTCACTTACACAGGACACCAAGGTTTTGGTAAAGGTGTCTCTAATCCTTTTCTGGCTATCCAAAAGAGATGTTTTTCATTTAAAACATCAATTCCTAATTGCTGAGCATAAATTGTTACATCTGTAAAACATTATTTATTAATAAGGAAGAATTAATACAAAATTTCTGTTCTCTTTTATACTGTATATAAGATAATTATTTAAAACAATTTTCATATTCACTTCAAAAGTGACAAAACAACATAAAAAAGCTGTTTGACTTTTCCAGCATTCAGACAGGAGGTTAAGGAGACCCTTAGGAAGTCTAATATTCTTCAATATACTACCATAAAAAATTTAAATAATAACAAAAGCTTAAGATGAATAATTCTGCAGAATTATGAGAAACTTCTCCATTTAAAAGAATATTTAAGTTTAAAAAAAACACTAAGACATATTAGCACAAAGTTAAATGTGTGTGGTGCCATCTGTTGTGAGATTTTATTAAAAAGTTATTTTTATTAATATATTATTAATTATTATAAAAAAAAAAGCAAAAGACTTAATTTTAAGGGTAGAGATAAGTTTTTAAATTAATTGTAAATGCCAATAACAAATAAGATTTTCCTTAAGTCTAACTCCCCTATCTCCCAATTATTGACCTTTAACCACCAAAGTTTAATAGCATCAATGTCTCATATATAGAAATAACTTGTTGAGTTTCAAAATTTTTGGTTCTTCCAAAATGTAATAAAATAGTTTTCCGAGATATAATGTAAAATAGACACTGAGACACATGCATACACAAAATTTTGTAAGGTTTTTCTAATTTATAAGCTCCTGGAGTGTCAAAACATCAAGAAATGCAAAAAACCAGAAGGTGAAATTTGACTTATCACCATACTTTCTTTCTGTTATATTCTATAACAGCCAGGAAAGTAATAGTAAAAATAGTACAATGTAAAACAATAAAAATAGTGTAACAAAAATAGAGAGAATTGTTCTTTCTATTAAAATATAGTTTGTCACCAAAGATGGGCTATTACAAAAATCCCTTTTAATTTTACAGACAGTAAAACTTCCATATTATAAACTTCTATGTAGCAAATCTCTCTGTGTACTGAATTTTTGCATTGTACACTGCTCTTTCAACAAAAAATATATGTAAAATTGTTTCTAAATAACAAAGTTACATTTACATATAACAATTTTTTTTAATTTGCAAGAACTATTAATTATTAAAAGTCAATTACTCCAATTTTTAAAACCATCATGTAATCTGCTCTCCACATGGCTACTGGTTGTAAAAAAGGGGGAGAAATGTTATCTGTCAACAAAGGCATTGGACATAAATGAATTACAATTAATGAATGTTTTAGGTTATAATATTACAGTATTGTACAGTATTTATATATTAAATAAATTTAATACTGTATTATATAGTATTTCTTAGTAATACTCTAACTTATAACTAACATGTTTTTATTGGAAAAAATTACTGTACTGTATAAATTACTACTGTATATTGAACATTACATTGATTACTTTAAATTAAAAACAATTTTATTTGACAATGTAATAGGATTAACAAATGGATAAATGGATTTTATTTATCACAACTAAATATTTCTAGATAAAAAAAATGTAATCAGTGAATATTCTTGTAAATGAACTTAAATGTTTTCCAATTTTTGCAATTTTATTTTCTTACCATTTGAGTTGAAGACATCATATACAGGTATATCTCGCCTTATGTCGGTAATTGGTTCCAGGAGAGACGATTTAAGTCGAAAAACGACATAAGACAAATTTACTTGTCACTAGGCTAAACCACAAATAACTATTCCCAGTTCTGTATTTTATTTATAAATGCATTTTTAATAATATAGTGGGTGATTGGTTAACGAACAAATTGGATAACGAACACTTTTGTGAAAGATTTTTGTGATCGGACAACAAACAGATGTTCGGATAACGAACACTTCACTGAACAAACACAAGTAGGAGCAACGTAAAATAAGAAATACCGATTCTTTGTCCTCAGGCAGCAATTCAAAACTTTTCAGAGCGCGGGAGCATCAGCATCGACGTTCAACCCAGTATATACTGATCGGATAATATTCCCCCGAACTTTGAAACTCTCCCTTGTAATTCCAGCCTTTTATATTTCTGATAGAAACAATTATTTTACGTTTTTTTCTGAAAAAGCGGATTAATGCTGATATCTGCTATTAAAGATCTTTTAAAGAAGTGGGATGATGTCAGAACAACGGTCTTAAAATGGCATCCAAACCAGGTTGAGGTTAATAGGCTTAGGGATCTCTACAATTACAACGCGATAAATTACTTCTGAAAAATCAAGAAGACAGAAAAGCAATTGACATTGGACAGATTCTTTAACCACTACAAACAGAAAACACATGACAAATAAAAATGCAAGACCATGTATATATGTATTTTTATTATTATATATAAATAAACGTAGTAAGAAAGTATATATTTTTTATTTTTTTGGGAGTCTCCAGAATGAATTAATCAAATTCCCATAGAAACATATGGTAAATTGATAATCGGTTAATGAACGAATTGTTCGTTAACCGATTATCGATAGTGAACAAAGATTCGGATAGTGAACAAAGTCTTGGAACGGATTATGTTCGTTAACCGATCACCCACTGTATTTATATCAAAAGCCGC